AGCGAATAGTGTCCGAGGGGAGGGGCTCGAGAGTGCGGGAGTTGAATTGAAAACAGTTTTGTTGCTGTGTCAGCATTTAATTATTTTTCCAGCTGGGATTCCATTTTGAAATGCTTGTTGCATCAGAAGTCTATATGCTAAATCCGTCGCCGTTTGTTATCCCCCACTGAAAAGTTGTCGATGGTACCAGGGTGACGACTTAGGGGGGATAACCCCCCTTGTTAATTCTCCTTCCTGTTCTCGTCCCTCACTCCTCAGGTATCTTGAAGATTAATTTGTTTTAATTTTTTTTTTTTCGTGAACGTTGTCCTGAATATTTGTTTATTTTATCAACCAGTTAATGGTCTTCCCGTTATCTCGATTTTTCCAATCTTTTGCGAGCATGGGAATGGGACCTTGCAATATTTCGTGATGTTACCGAGTTAATTACATCACGAATTTTCCAATTTAGCTGGGATGATTTTTTTTATCATTTCTTTCCATGGACATTCCCGTCATTTTAGGAAATTCTTTTAATATCAGCTAAAAGCCTTACTTTCATTCCAGTTTTTGTTCGAGTTTATTGTGGCACAGAAGCGATAAGTGACAGTGTGAAAGTTTTATCTCTGAGCTTATAAATTCAGCTGAAATGTTTAAAAAGTAATTTCCCCGATCGATAATGTAAATCTATCTTGGGGTTCCTGTGTACCATATTGTTCTGTAATTGTTCGTTAATTAGTTTACTTTGAAGTTGAATCTCATTACACACACAATAGCATTTTGCCTCATCTTTTTCATCACCTGAATAAAAGTTTTCTTTGAAAGTCCCTGAGTATTTTAATAGTCCGTGCTGCGGTTTGCCTATTTGTGTGGTGCGCCTTGTCCTTTCGCCTAGGGTCATTCGAGCACCCCCTTCAACCGTTGTGACCGTGGGGTCTTTTGCGCGTTTTCAGGAAGATATGAGAAATGGTCAGCGAGTTTCACGTCCTACAATTATCGGCTTTTTATTGCAGGATGCGAGATGTGGGTTATTCATTGAAAAAATTAGCAGCTTTTCTAAACGGAATGTGACACTGACATTCCTTCAAGAGGTGTTTGAAGAGCTCGTGGTACAGAGAGAGGGTTAGGGAGTAGTGCCCAGCACGCTTGGCATTTGTTGGTCACTTGAAAATAATGCTGGAAAGACAGGGATTGACTATGTTCGCAGAATCCAAGGACAATTTGAGGAAAAAAAAAAATGAGATGCTTAGCGACTAGCAAGTTTGCCAAAATTGTTTGGAGTTTTTTTTAGAGAAGTTCCCAGCTACTAAGGACGAGCAGCCGTGAGCCGTGATACTGACTTATCAGATGCGCTTCGCCTTTTTGCAGGACTTCCAAGTGATTGTTTCGCCCGACGGAATTTTCACCCTCCACTAAACGCCATTCACCGGCTATCCGCAGGGCGAGCAGACGTTTTTCGTCCAGTGGGCCCTCATTTCCATCATGTCCTACAGCGCTTTTATAGCTACTGAGGCCTTCAAGTCCATTTGCCACGGTTTTTTTTTTACCTAGCTTTTCCGTTGTAGTCGTTAATCACATTCGTTAGTACAGATTTGATGAAGCTTAATTCGTGCTTACCACAGGTTTTTCAATTCCATCGTCGTCACTAGCCACTGTAGGAGGGCATAAACCTGGGTGATTTTTTGGGGGAATTTTTTTAGACACTGGTCAATAAAGAAGTGCAGCAATTCGTAGCGAGCAAAACTGGCAGGAGATGACAGTGCTTATGTTAATCGTTGCACTAATCTGGCTGGGATTTTTTTTTTCAGGAGTAGCTTTTTGCGTGTCGACGTTGTTGTGGTTGCTTAAAATGGCCGAATTGTGTACGATTGTACCAGGCACGATAAAAGATGAAAGCGCGCAATTCCTTCTGCAAAATTATTTGCGTTTGGAGAAAATTGGAGAAGGATCCTATGGCATTGTGTACAAAGCAATTGATAAAAGAACTGGTAAATTTGTCGCAATGAAAAAAATTGGTATAGGAAAATATGAAGGAATACCCCAAACGACACTCCGAGAGATAACAGTACTTAAAAATCTCAAACACCCGAACATTGTGTCGTTAGAAAATCTCATATGGGAGAATAATCGTATTTATATGGTGTTTGAATATCTCCCAACAGATTTGAAGAAATTTTTGCGAGAAATTGGTTCGAGTGAGCTCCTCAGCAAGATGCAGCAGAAATTGTTTTTGTACCAGCTTCTTCAAGGAATACGTTTCTGCCATGGACGAGGTATTCTGCATCGCGACTTGAAGCCAGAAAATCTTCTCATTGACGAAAAAGGTGCTCTCAAAATTGCCGATTTTGGTCTTGCTCGGGCAGTCGGTGATCCAGGCAGAGTTTATTCACAAGAAGTGCTCACACTTTGGTATCGATCTCCGGAAGTGTTGCTTGGCAGCAATCGTTATTCGAAGGCAGTGGACATTTGGAGCGTTGGTTGCATTTTTGCTGAATTAGCCACCACGAAACCACTGTTCGCTGGCGATTCGGAAATTGACCAACTTTTCCAGATCTTCCGAATCTTGTCAACCCCCACGGAAGATATCTGGCCCGGAGTGGGCAGTTTACCTTCTTTTAAAAATGTTTTTCCTTGTTGGACTGAGGACACCCTGGACGATGTGCTTGAAGGCTACATGGATGCAAAAGGCATTGAAATTTTACGGCAGATGCTTGCTTATAATCCAGAAGAACGAGTTAGCGCAAAAAGACTTCTCAAGGACGCCTACTTCGCGAACATTAATCGAAGCAAACTGCCAGGCGGGAAATTGTGATGGAGATGCGCAGTGCTGCTGTGTCTGAACCAACAACTGTTACTCTTTGAACCAATCGTTACTGCCAAAATCCACACTGTCTCAGCGATTCGCTCTTTTTATTGTTTTGACTAACTGATATGGTTGTTGGCGCGTTGACAATAAAGTTTCTATAAAAATTGTCGTTGCAGTCACATGTTCTTCGTATCAGTGCTGTCTGTGCATCATTCATTTGAAATTTTTTTTTTACCACAATTAAGTATGTAATCGCTCTTTCAGTTGCATTTAATCTGTGCGCAGTGTCGGTGTGAAGACGGTCGGACGTGA